TCCAAGACCTGGAGTAAGGATCACTAGTCTAAGAACGTCTAAACAGACAGAATAGGATAATAGGATTAGAAGGAACCAGTAAGGCGATAAAAAAGGATAGCAGCCATGCGCTCTCTGGGCTGGCTTCAGGCTTAAACACTGCAAGAAGTGCTCAGTCAGACTGGACAATTCTTTGACAATCAAGACATGGACACTTATCACAACAGACACTAGTTAACCAGATGCAGATACTGCTCAGCCTGGATAAAGGAGAGAGCATCAGGTTCAGAGAATAAAATTAACGTCTCCAGCAAAGCCTGAAAACAATCCAGCCGGTTTTTGCCCAGCCAGCAATAGATAAAAGCTCCATGTGCTCATTTCACCCGAGACGAAGCCGTCGACTGTGGCCCCACCGCTGCAGGCACAGCAATAGGAGACTGAGCGCCTGTCCGACCTGGTCTCCCCAAGACTGGCTCCCTGGAGAGATGCCACTGCAGCTAGGAAAAGGTCTGGATCTTTGATAGGAAATCCAGATCAAGACTCTCGAAAAAGTCCTTCCCTGTAAGAAACATCCAGCGCTCCTGGTGTCAGCTTCATGCTTGGCATTCCAAGCCCCTTCCGATCCGCCACGCACGCGCATGGAAAGAATGCCCGATTGTACTGCTGTCACGTTCAACTCACAACTGCTTGGCCCTCCGCCCGTCCCCAGTCCCACGCACTTCCCGGACAACGCAGGCCAAGACTGAGCCTTCCTGATCCAGCACCCGGGAGGCAGATCACAGGGGGAGAGCCTTTGAGACAGGGAAACTGGGAAACAAGGCATCGGTCACTGACATGAAACAACCTGCATGCCTACAATGCTTCTGGCTTCCTATTGGTCCATATTTATGCTTTTAAGTATTTGCATGCGAGGTTTGCCAATCTTGGCTTTAATTTTGTATGGTACTAGAGAAGGGGAGACTAAGGGTGCTCTCTCATTTCCCGCAAGAGCCCTAGCTCTTCCTCAGTGGGAGGGTTAGAAACCTCAAGTGTCATTCTAAAAAATGTGAGAAGGCACCAACAGGTGTGGATTCTGATGTTGTAAAGTCAAAACACAGAAGAGAGCTGCAAAAAAAGCACAACCCTACCACACATACAAGTGGGCTCTACAGTAACTATTCATTCATTTTCTAACTGCTTCATCCCTGGCAGGGCTGCAGGGCAGCTGGAGTCTATTCCAGCAAGCAACAGGCACAAGGCAGTGTACACCCTGGACAGGACACCAGTCCATCACAGGGCAAACTGACAGACACTCACAACAGTGCCAATTTTCCCGAAGTCAATTGTCCGAAGTCAACCAGCATGGCTTTGGATTTTTGAAAATCAGTGGTTCAACACCATTTGAACAGCAAATGAAGTGCTATGAAGGGGCTGCACAGCACACAATAGCACGGCCGGGATTGATCTGCATTCAGGCTATCAGTCTCGACAGGCTTCAGACACAGGCCCAGGCAGGGGAACAACTGTGCTGCAAACCCAGGAGTTTCTTCAGCCAGCCTGCTGTAGACAAACACTGTCATTTACCCATTCTTAATTACAGCTTTGCCAGGAATTGTATCAGATCTCCATAATCTCCCATATCCTTGGATTTTCCAGGACTGCAACCACCCATCCTGCTGGAATGTTGCCTCATTATACTTCTCTGGAAATGCACTGTTTTTTTTCTCCCAAAATCTGGAGAGGATGGCTGTTCTTCAACCCTGACTGGCTTCTTCTCAAGATGAGGTGGCAGTGTGTAACACTTACAGCGCATATGTGGCCAAGAGAAAAAAAAACAAGCATTTCTAACAGAAAGCAACGCAGAAGCAGTAAGCTTCAATTTCCTCCCCTATCCTATCCTGCCTCTTGGACCTGAAATATTTTACATCGCATCTCCTGATCTTCGTAAGCTGTTTAACCCCTATCAGACACACACAGTTTCAGCTGAGCATTGAACATTAACCACTAGGGTTAATAATAATAATAATTGCTTACACTTATATAGCGCTTTTCTGGACACTCCACTCAAAGCACTTTACAGGTAATGGGGACTCCCATCCACCACCACCAATGTGCAACATCCCCTGGATGATGCGACGGCAGCCATAGTGCGCCAGAACACTCACCACACATCAGCTATCAGTGGGGAGAAGAGCAGAGAGTAATGAAGCCAACTCATAGATGGGGATTATTAGGAGGCCATGATTGGTAAGGCCCAATGGGAAATTTGGCCAGGATGCCGGGGTTACACCCCTACTCTTTTCAAGAAATGCCCTGCGATTTTTAATGACCACAGAGAGTCAGGACCTCAGTTTTACACGTCATCCGAAGGACGGCGCCTGTTATCAGTATAGTGTCCCCATCACTACACTGGGGGATTAGCACCCACATGGACGGCAGGGTGAGCGCCCCCTGCTGGCCCCACTAACACCTCTTCCAGCTGCAACCTTAGTTTTTCCCAGGAGGTCTCCCATCCAGGTACTGACCAGGCTCACACCTGATTAGCTTCTGTGGGTTGCCAGTTGTGTGTTGCAGAGTGATATGGCTGCTTAAGAATAAAGAAGGCATACTTCATAATCCCAGTACATTGTGAGGACAGGATGGTACAGATATTCAGTATTTTAGAGTCAGGCACCAGTTTACAAAACCTTCAAGTCCACTTCTAGCTGCAGACAAAGAATGCAAACACCCCAGGTTAGGACCAGGGACTCATTTCCATAGCTCATCTTACACCCTTCTGAACATATAAAGCCCTTTACAAGATGTATTTTTTGAGATTTCACTGTCTAGCTAGACTTTTGAAAACAGAATACAGGCAACAGGCACACCACATTGTCCATTCAAACTCACTGCATTTAAATGTGAGCTCTTTACACAAAGGGTTGTGAGAGTATGGAACAAGCTCCCTGGCCATGATGTTGAAGCCGATACTCTGGCTTCTTTGGATAAATGGCTGGCCACGTCCCTGGGATCAATTAAGTACCAACTACCAAACGTCATTTGGCGGAATGGGTCAAACAGCCTCCTCTAATTACTAACCTTCCTCCCATCCAAAACAAAACTCCTTGACCACAATTTTCTAAAATGAAGTCCAACAGTATGCAGGTGCACCCAAGAAGTTACAACATATGCATATACAACATTCTCCACTTGGAAACAGTTAAGATGAAATCAGACAAAAATATAATTTTGGCTAAAAAAAACACATTTTTAAAGCTCTGTAGGATATAGCCCGTGTTGTGGTCAAATAAGCACTGCTTATTCACTGTGACCGATTATATAGGACAATTACGTGGTTGTGTTGGGATGTCCACTGTTATACATAAACACAAACTGAAGAATGTTGGCTGTACCTCTTTTTGATACATAATAAGGCTCTGTGACATAAATACTGGAGCCAATTTGTGACAGCAGAAGCTGCCCAATTAGGATTTTCTTTTAAATACTGTACATCAAAATTTGCTTTGAACTCACAGTAAGAAATATGAACCAACAATTGAGTTTAGGTCACTAGCCAAGATCAGGGTAGTGCAGCCTTTCTTAAGGAAACTCCTGAAGGAAATTCAAATTTCAAGGTGAGGGATAAACAGAAAGCTTCAAAAACTCTTTTGTCACAGGTGCGACAGGTGTCACAGGTTCTACAAGGAGAAAATATCCATTGGAATGGTAGCAGGACCACGTTAAAAAAAAACCTGTCAACTGCATTTTTTTTTTAACTGGTGCAACCAGTTCCGAATCTAAAAACGACTATTTTACATATAAAGGAGAATTTGGTCGAGTAGATGTGTCTGACTTTGGTGATATACCAGTAAATGTTAATTCCACGCTAAAAAAAACAAGAGGTGTCACACCTGAAGAAGGCACAAAAGCCCAAACTGCGTTTCTCTTTTCTATTTTTCGAGGTGGAATTTACCTTTACTTCTTCCTTTGAAGCTACCAGTTCGATAGTTACAATCGCTTATTTTAGCCATCAGCAATCATACCGTCTACACGTCTGGCAATCAGCTAGTTCTCATATAGTGGCATTTTATAAATATGAATATTGTAAAATATGTATACTTTGCGTATGACCATAATTAATTAGGAAGTTTATCAAAATGTATTTCATACTGACAGTAAAGGTGGGTTACTGTTTTCAATAATAAAAAACGTGAAGGGTGTATCGGAAAAGACAGCTTATATTTTATAAAACCGTTTCAGCAACGTAAGGGATAAGAGACTCGAACGAACAAAGCCGACTTTAAAACAACACCTTGATGTTAATAGCTTTTGAATAAAGAAAAGCATTTTGACGGACTCGACAAGTATTTCGACAGACAACATTCTTGCTTTTTGAAAGTGTTCGAAATAAAAAAACAGCCGTCCAACTCGAAGTCATTCATTATTGCAGAACTACGATAGTCACTTCTCGGTAAATCGCAAACATTTTAGCATTTATAAGTTTAATTTCTAGCATATGTGCCGGTTCTGTGTTTGCTACATATTAAAGGTTATTTTAAAATGCCGGTATCCGGGACAACAAAGGAGACAGAATCAGGGATCCGGATCCCCTGGGGACAGAGCAGCTGGGCGGCTGAGGTGAAAAGAAAATTTGTTAGTTTAAAAAAAATAATACAAAAATAACTCATGACTGGGGAAAAAACTTTTAGAAGGACGAGTATTTGTGTGTCCTTCCACTAGTAATTACGTCATGGTGTAACAGATTTCCGCACTTTTTCCCCAGCGTAACTCCTCGGACAACCCTTTCTTCTCCTCCCAGCCCCAGTCCGCACAGCTCCGCACACTCTGCGAGATACGGCAGTAGCGTAATTTACGCTGTCTCACTGGCAATACCCTCGCTTCCACCTGCAGCCTGGCGATAGGTTCGCAAACGCTGTTTGTGAATGTCACTTGCTCCTAAACGGGAAACGGACACCTTTTTTCAAACAAGGAAATCGCTCCGCCGAGCCGCCAGATTCTGGTTGGAATTGAAATGGAAACGGGCTTTTTAAAAAACGGCTTACCTGCCGACAAAGTTTTCCAGGACTGAACTTTTGCCAGCGCTCTGCCCGCCGACCACGGCGATCTGCGGCAAGTCGAGGTTGCAGCTTTGCCCGATGGAACTGAAAGCGTCCTGAAGTTTATTAATCAGGGGAATGAGCTCCTCCATCCCCCGGTTCCCCATGGCTGCGCACTCGGGTTCTCACTTATTTGGTAAAAAAAAAAGCTCTGTATGTTCACACCAACTCTGGTAACGGGGATCAAAAATAATTCAACCAGTCAGCCGTAAATGGCAGCGCAAACATACACACGGAGAACTCCAACAGACAGAAACAAAACTTCTCTCATCCGGTCAGCCGACACCCCAACCTCCGCTGCTGATAGAGACCCCGCCTCCTGTCAAGCAAAAGGAGCAAAACCACTGGCGAATTTGCATGCCCGTCTTCTCGAAGTGGCCGGCGATTGGTGGATAGTTTATTTCCTCGTCTTGTAAGTAAGGGCGTGGTCTTAAATTTCGGGCGGTGCTGTTGTAAAAAGCATCGCTATTGGCCATCTGGAACGTCAATCATTTTAGCCTTTGACTGTTTCTTCTACCCCAGGAATACAGCCAAGATTTTAGTACGATGAGTGTTTGCGTTAGAAGCTACACACAACCTTTCTAAATTTATTTTCTAAATTTACCTTTCTAAACCGATCTGTTGCCCCAGAAAGAATAAGAGGCTATATTTCGTTAATTATTTTACACTAGAAGCCTCGCTTCTGTTTTATAAATTATAAAAACATACTCGTCGATGGGAAATATAAAACTGATGCGTTTAATACTTAATTTAATCTATTGAGCCCTTCACCATGACCATCAGCTGTAAATTAAGAGTTTATATTCTTTTGTACCTGATACACACTTTTCAACAAATAACCCACCGAGCAACTGTGTTGTTAAAAAAATATTTTTAGGTAGAATGTGCCTTTAGTCAAAGCGACCAGAGGAACGCCGGACCTGCGTCATTTCTAAATTACTGGCAAGCCAATATACTTGATTATTTTCATAACATGTTTTTGCTCATAGTGGTGAATGACATTTAACAGGGGCAGCATTGCGCAGTGGTTAGTAGTGGGGCTCTGACTGAGTTCAGTTCCTGACTTGGGTTGCTGTCTGTGTTGAGTTTATATGTTCTTCCTTCGTTCACGTGGGTTTCCTTTGGGTGCTCTGGTTTCCTCCCACAGTCCGAAAACGTGCTGACAGGTTAATTGGCGTTTGGGAAAACTTGCACTGGTGTGGGAGCCTGTATCTGTGTATGCCCAGTGATGGACTGGCGTCCCCTTTGGTGTATCCGCTATTGCGCCTGTTGCTTACTGGGTTAGAGTCCGTCGTTCTCAGCAAGCTCGATAAAACGTTTAGAAAATGAAGGATGAACTTTTATCAGAGGCCACTTGACGCAACCTCACTTCAGTTTAACCAGATAAACCACTTGAAAACGAATTCTCGCTTACTGTGATGACATGGTCATTATCAATTTGCTCGGTTTGACGCTGGAGTAGCCTGAGTGATGCGACTTGCTTAAGGGTACAAGCAGCGTTTCAGCTAAAATTATCGAGAACACCTTTTTTAAACCCTGCAGCAGTTTTAAAAAAATTATAGAAGTTGATTCTATAAAAAGTCTTCAAAATCAACAGGGAAACACGAACCAGAGTACACCAAGGGAAACTTACTGTAGGTGAAGTGCTTTTAACACAGAAAAAGTGGCACTCATATGCACAAAGAGTAGTGGGAGCCTAGAACAATCTTACCAGCCAGGATGCTGAAGCCAATACTCTTGCTTTTTGTCAATCAACGACACCAAGACATCCCCTGCTTAATTAACTGCAATAATCCAAATGAGTCTCTCATGACTTTTCTTACTTCTAACGGTTTTGGTCTTTGGATCTCAGAGACTGTTTCTGTCTCTGAACGTTTTTGCCAGTTCCAACTTCAACGGCACGTTTTCTGTTTATCATACGAGGTCCCAAAATAACAAAGGAGGTCTTGAGCTTGTGTAGATTTCACATATTTAACTCTGTATTTTTTCTCCCAAAGCTATCTCATTGAGAGCCACATGGTGGGGCAGTTTCAGTATGACTGTGCACAACGCTGACGAACCCAGCCAACAGAGCGCGCTTAACCATTACATACTACAGCTTTACACTACAACTAACGGAAATCATTATGCGAAGCGCATTTCCAGTAGCGCGACATCATTTTAATTTTTGTAAAATATCAATACCGAATAAACTTCAGAGAGGGTTTAGTAAATTTAATCTTGTATTCATGGCTCACTCGAGAAACATCAAAAAATAAATGAGAAAACGGGATATATAAAAAACATCTTAAACTGTTTCATAATTCAGATCTGATCGATGCTCTTCGGTTAAATATGCTTATTGAAAACCAAGATTAAATATCAGGCCCTTTCTACATAAAACCAGTATATAACTACTTCAATATTGATCTCAACTCTTTTTGCTGAGACAATCTTAAACACCGTAGTGCCTTTATAAACAAAAGCAGGAGGCACATTTTACACAAAGGATGGTGGGAGACAGGAACTCCTTTCAACCTTTCAGCAGAGCTGCCTTGAGTCACCTGCATTGCATAGCCTCCTAGGACACCCTGTGATCTATCCTAGCATTTTTAGAAAAAGTCTGAACAAAGAAACTGTGAGCCATCACCTTCAGGGACACATGGGAAAACTTCAGTAGACACCCATCCATCTGTTTTTTAATTAGTTTATGAACTTCAAGGTCACGGGCACTGGGGGAGCTAGAGACTCTCCGGACAAGCTAGGCAGGATACACCCTTTATGGGACACCAGTCAATTGAAGGTCTGACACACAATCATAAACAGACACACACACACGCACACCAGGGCCAATTTTCCCACAAGGTAACTAACCCATCAGATTGTCTTTGGACTGTGGGAGGAATCGGAAGCACCCTGAAGAAACCCCCACAAACTAAAATGAGGAGAGCATCCAAACTCCACACAGATAGCACTGCAGGAATTGAACGCAGGGCCACTGCACTGCAAGGCAGCAATGCTAACCAGTGTTCCACTGTGCCACCCCTTCAGTAAACATGTCAAGCTCAAATGTTAACAGGAGGCACCTACCTGCCCGGGCAAATCTTGGAGTGATAGTGTTAGCGCCTGTTTACCCAGACCTAATCGCCCTCGGTGCTGTAAAACACAGGTTCTTGGTAGAGACGTCTCCATGCGGCCTTAAGATATAACTATCTGCTCGTGCCCTTGACCTTTGTTTGATTGCACTTGTGCTCAAAATTCTTCCAAGAGGAGAACTTCCCAGTGCTGGTCCTGGGTACCCTGGTATCTGCAGGCGTTCTCTCAGGCTCTTCATTGTTTTAGCTTTTTCTTGAATGATTCATTTGACCTGTGGGATGGGTTTCAGGCCATAAACTGTCGGAGATTTCATTTTGACTATTGTACTTTATAATGTAACACAAAAACTGCACATTTTAAACAATTGGCAATGGTGTCAAGTACAATTGAGTAAATTCAGTTCAATCAAGGAATTAATTAAAATAACTGAGAACTGAGCTGGAATGATGTTGGGATTTTCAGGACCAGAGTTGAGTATTCCTTTCCTGTCTGCTGGGTTTTCTGGGTTTTCTGGTCCTTGCTCACTAAGTTAACTAATTGAACCCATTAAGTAGACTGTGTTACAACTCCATAATGTATCTGAAATTGAGCGGTCCCCAGGTGATTCCTTACTTAGTGTATTATGCAGAGCTGCAAGGCACACAATATGTATTCTCAATATGTATTCCTTAAGGAATACCAGTGTTCCATGTTTTCATGGAACAGTGTTCCAGTTTTCATTCCAGTGTTTTCATGCAAGCAGCACCACATTTTTTCAAATCTCCTCCCTAGGAAGCCCAGTGATTTGTCTTCTACTTTTCATTTGCAAGAAAGTCACGTAATCTGTAATATCCTGATGTCTTTTTTAATGACTATCATCATGTCATTGACTATTCGCTTTTTATTTATAGTCTAAGCTGTCATGTTTCATTTCCTAATTGTCTTCTAATGTGACTCTTGCGGTCTTTGATAATTTTTTAATTCAACATGCCATCGTTTTGGAATTTTTCGGTTCACCTTACCATTTGTAATATCGATTTATCATCCGATTTGCCTCTAGATGTTTTTTTTTTTAATGTCTGTGTCTTGTATTTTGTTCATTGTGTTGTAACCAGGGACTCCAGATGTAAATTCGCTTTTAGGCTTACTGTGGTGCAGCTTAAGAACTGTGCACTGTCCCTCTTCAATAAAATAAAGCTCTGTTTAACCCTGGCAGATAACCCTGAATGAAACTAATGATTTAATTCTCAATTTGACACTTTTCCTAAATCCCAGTTTCTAAAATTGTTATAAAGGTACTGTAATTTAACTCTTGCAATCTATCTTTTGAATAACTTCTGAATTAGGGAGATTAGTGGTTGAGTTCAAGATGCTTGGAAGGAAGGGTAAATTCAGCTACCAGTAGGCATTTAATGAATTAAAACAGTGGTCCCCAACTTCAGGACAGGGGCACCTGTAGTCTTTCAGGCCCTATAGGCATATTCAGTGAGCCAATGAAGGTCAAGAGAGTGATGTCATATTGGTCCAGTTTAATTATTAAGAGTGACAACCAGATGACTCTTTCTGTGTTCTGAGAACAGGGCTGGCAACCCTGATCTTTCAAACTGTCATTTTTTTTTGTAAGTCTTGGTTTCAATTAAATTTAGTAAGAACACTGATAAGAGCAAAGTGGCAAAGCAAGGAGGGAAGACAGAAGACTGGAAAATAAAAACAAGAAAGGAGAAAAAGGAAAACAGTCTGTGCTGTATTGTAGATATCATGTTAAAGACTGAAAGGGCACCAATACAAGGTATTGACTTACAAACTAAGTAAGAGGGCATTCCTTGTTTGTTTTCAGACAGACCTTACAACTCAATATCAAAGCCTAAGCTCTGCACTGTTTGGAGCACAGACTGTATATATTGACTTAAAGGACTACAGCATTCTTTTATCAAGGCACAAAATTTAACAAGCCCCAGACATGTTTAATAGGAGAAGCTCACACCGTTGTGAAACACTTCAGATAACTTAAACAAAGATGGTGTTTTTTTGAGACCATGTTTGTGAAACACATTTACAAGCAAGACGAAACCAGTCAACCCATTTCACTCCTTTGGTTGCTAAGTCCGGCTCAGTGTTGCCAAGTCATGCTACGTCTCATTTTATTGCTTCTTGGATTATCCCAGAGTATCAGTTTTACAGGGCATTCACACATGCGGCAGGGCCAGTTTTCCCAGGAGCATATTATCCTACTAGTATGGCTTTGGGCTGTGAGAAGAAAAAGAGAGCACCCAGAAGAAACCCACGTAAACACCGGGAGTGACTTACAAACTAAGGTGATAGCACCCCAGGGTCCCAGCACTGCAAGGCAGCAAATGCTAACACTAATACTCAAGATGAAACCATTGTGTTTTTATTGCCTATAAACCATCAGTACAAAGTCAGTCAAACAAATGACCCTGTATACTTAAAAACAAAACAAATTAAACTAGAAAAGTGATATTGTAATCAATTATTATAAATCTAATATATATTATTAGATAATATATATATAAACAATATGAACCTGTGAGAGTGAAAAGTACTGTAAATGTCAAACATGAAAATTATTCTCCCAAATTAACAGCAGCACAGATGAAGTACAACTTTCTGTGCTCTTATACTTAATTTTCACTGATTCGTCGCAAACTATTCCACTATATTCACACACAACAACATATTCATATCTTTGTGAGGACTTCACAACGACTCACATTCTGTTTCTGTTTGCTATTCCAGACACACAGTGAAATATGCTTTGGACATGGCAAGATAACGCCATTTGCTTAACTCAAAACCAGTTATTTGCATTATGGGGACAGCCACACATCATCTGTAAGGAGTGCCTATGTTTGCAGGATCATTGTCCCATCATTAGTAATATGTGCTCCTCTCACCAACACATGCACAACCACCTGTGCAACATTCACTACAATTCTTGAAAGAAACAGGATTTTGGGATGAATACCTTGCAGGACCCATCCCATTTAGGAACAGCAAAAGTCCGGCAGGACTCTTTTTGTAGGAATCACGGAGGATTCCAGCATGAAGCTTTCTTTACATACAAATCTAAGAGCTTCGAAGGGATGGATCACAGACCTACACCTGATCCTCCCCACAAATCCCCTCTTTACTAAAGATCTCCTGCAGACTTAATTCTCTTTCCTGCTCCAGAATTTCCCGATGGTGGAGGTAACGGCAGTTTTGCACCCGCTGCCAGGTCACTTCTGGAGTTTCCACCTCCTTCTGCCTCTCCCTCTCCGGGTGGGGTTCTCTCTGGCTTGCGGGCTCCTCCTCGCTCAGCCCACCCTCTTCTACCTGCCCCTCTCCTGGGGTGCCGGCCTCAGCGCACCCTTCCTCTCCAGGCTCCGACAACGCCTTCCTCTTGAGCTGCTCCAACTCTGACAGGAAGGAGCTCATGCGCTTCTGGAAGTCGGTCGGCATGGGGATGGCCAAGTTCCGCCTGCCCAGGTGGAGCAAAGTTTGCGTTAGTCCGAAATAACCAACATAGGTGAGCGGTGTGAGACAATTGACTTGGAAAGAAATCTAAACGTGCCAATTGATTTTGATGGAACCCGTTTTGAATTGTCCACTTTTAACGCACTCATTGCATACAAGCGTCTTGAGGGATGAAAACAATTCCCATAGAGTGCCTGGAAAAAGGATTTAATTGTGGGACCTCCAAGAGACAGGAGGTCCCAGAATTAGCTCATTGAACCTCATGTGAAACACCTTAACTGCAGACAGGTGGACTCCAACTAATTATGTGTCTTCTGAAGACAAGTGGTTCCACCAGAGCCTATTTAGGTAGACCATAGCAAAATGGGTGGTGAATATTTCTGCAATAAAATGATTTTCTGTTTATCTCAGTGGTGGCACAGAGATGCAGAGGTAGTCATTGCTACCTCGAAGAGCTGGGGCCATGGAGCCTGGGGTTCAATTCCTTGGGTGCTATCTGGGTGGAGTTTGGATGTTCCTCTCCATGTTCATGTGGGTTTCCTCTGGGTGCTCCAATTTCCTCCAACAGTCCAAAGACATGCTGATAGATTTACTGGCTTCTAGGAACATTGGCCCTGGTGTGAGTGTTTGTGTGTCTTCCCTTCAATGGACTGGCCTCCAGTCCTGACTGTACCCCACCTGATGCCCGTTGCTTGCCAGGATAGGCACCGGCTCCCCAGCAACCCTCTACTGAAAGAAGCAGTTAGAAAATGGATGGATGGATCTGATCTCGGCCCATTTTCTAACCATTTTTCCTGGTGAAGGTTACAGTGGAAACAGGCGGAGCAGGCTTCTCTTTCCCCAGAAACAGTTTCCAGCTCCTCCTGGGGGACTCCCAGGCCAGCTAAGACATACAGTATTTTCTGTTGTATATTTATAAATTAATGTAGGATGATATGAAAGATTTTGTTTGCAATTTGGCATTATAGAGCATTTTGTGCCAATCAATGGAAAAAAAAAGAAATTCCATATTGTCACAAAATAAAATGTGTGAAAGTCAAAGGGGGGGAAATACTTTTGATATGCACTGTACTTTACATCTGCCAATAACTGTGCTATCAGGTAATTGGTCAGCACAAACAGCAAAACTTCACCCAAACAAAGGACAGTAGCAGCTCAGGTGGGTAGGTACAGTACGTCAGCATGCATAGGCTACAAAGGAACAAGTAATAGGTTTATTCTATGCTGAAAAGAAAAGAAAGAAACCACAATGTTTCGGCCGTGGAGCCTTCTTCAGCTCACCACTACTATTAGACTTGGAATCTTCAGGGCACCCTGAGCCACCTGACTTGCACCTTAGGCAGCAAATCAAAGACTCATTGGGTGACCAAAGTTTTGAGAAGCTTTGCAACACACCTCTGAGCTGCTAAACAAAATTCTCCTTGTTGAAATATCCGTCCATTTTCTTAATGCTTAATCTGATTCAGGGTTGTGGGGGAGCCAGAGCCTAATCCTGGCAAGCAATGGGCACAAGACAGGGTGCACCCTAGCCAGTCCATTGCAGCCTTGTTGAAATTAGAAAATCTAAAATCTCCCATCATCTGCTGCGCCAAGCTTGCAGATTTTGCCCCACAAGCCCAGGCTGCAGAGTGAACTATTGCTTTTTCACTGCAGGGCACCTGTGGCGATGCACGACACCTGACCAATCAATTTTCTGGCATGTTGAGGGCATAAAAAGTGGGGAGAAAGAAACGGACTCCATATAGCAGAAAGTGCGAAGAGATGCCCCCTTCCTTCCCAGAGTGCAACACCCACCTGGCCAGGCCATCGCCGGGCGCACCGAGGGAGAGTGCCAGCTGCAGGGTGGGCAGGGAGATGCGCTTTCGGGAGAGGATCTGCCTGGGCAGGTCAGGTGGCATCTCCACCAGGAGGTTCTCCAATGATGGAGTGGTGTCTAGGGCAGGAAAGAGGCAACAGAAACCCCATTCTTTATTCAGGATCATCTTCTTGACTAATTATCCCAGTATAGATCCACTGAAATTCCCCATCATTTTCTTATGCATCTGTTTCCTATAGCCTGGACCACAGTTTTCAATGTCTCTCCATGATTTACGATGGATATACTGTGCTTTGCTTCTCTTTCTTGATTTTAGCCACAGATTATCAGAGTAAATACTGCTAAGGATCAGTCCTATAGGTACAGTAGGTGAACTTTAATTTTTGTCGACCTAGTTATCATGAACCACGAGTTACATTGGTGAAAAGGGATCGAATTCAGATCAATCTGAATAGTAGGACTTATCGAATAGGGAACCCAATGCAGCACATATTGAATGGTGAACTCGGCGTGAACAGTAGCTCGTATTGATACTGTTGTTCATGGCCCCATCCGCAGCGCTCACCGCATCTGATGCTGCAGAGCTCTGCGCTCAGTCTTCTCTTCTGCTCCTGGAGCTGGGCGAGCTGGCGGCTGCAGCGGAGGTCCATGGCGCTCAGGTGGCGGCTCAGCCTCTCCTCGGCCTGTTTGTTCTGTCGCTCCGCCAGCTCCACGCGACCGGGCCGCACCACGGGCATGCCTGGGGTGAGAGGCATCGGCAAGGCTAGCCGCACGTAAAAAAAAAACAGCTGTTGAAAATGCTCAGCTAGTCCACCGTCAGCCTCCATAGTTCAGGACGGCAAGCGGGGGGGAAAAAAGTATCAAATTTATTTCGAGGTCACTTAAATGGACATTCAGTTTTTGTTAAAAAATTACCAACTGTAATCACGGTATAAAGTGGGAAACGACTCAATCTTAAATTCGAGTAAATTATTTTCAGTCAATTTTCGATTAAATTATGTTACAGTCAATTTTCAAGAACAGTTCAGTCCGTTGCAGTCTCGCAGTACCTAATACGGTTGACAAGGGGACCAATGCATGATACGATTTGCACCCCGTTAATCGCACGCCACACGCATTTACAGATTGTAGACACCAATTAACCTAAGCAGCATGCCCAGAAAAAAACCCACGTGGCCAACTGGAAAAGGCGCAACTTCTACATTGAACCCGTCCCAGCCGCGGAATCGAATCTGAGACCTCAGTTCTACTCAAATCTGGATTATGAGTATCGAAGAAACAAACGAAACGATACTGCAAGAGCAGCCTTTGTTTCTTAATGCAGAGGTTAAGAGGTACATTCAAGCTCTCTCGACTCCTGTTTACCTGCTCTGAATCTGTGCGGTGTCCAATGTAAAGGGCGCCTCCACTTTTCAGCTTCTCAACGGGACGCTCTTCTCACACGCTGCGTGATGGCGATCATTAGCTGTGTGTCACCTACACACGAAGACTTGTTGGCTGATTTGATGCTGTAGTAATAAAGTATATTCATTACTATACCTAGGAAGAGAAACTGCGGCTTATGAGGGACAGGTGATCTGATAGTTCGACACCACCCTTCTGTCTCCGGTAACAGAATAATCCACATTTTATAGGTGCGGACTTAATTGCAGATAAGGTGGAAAGGTTTCGGTATGTGTTGGCAAGATATTAAAACATTTGTTGACCTATGTATGTTTGGTAATTAGTTTCGCTAATTAGTTTGACTGCTTTTGCTGGTTCAGGGGGGTTGTTTAGTTAAAGCGCAAAATAAAAGCCCACGGGACCTGTTCGGTGTGTCTTCATAAAAATAGTTCATTTCACGTTGTAATATTATTAATAAATGACAAAAAAGCGTGTTATTACATTAAAAGGTTGTAAATAACTTTGAAATGTCTAGGGCTTGTGTATTGTAGCAGAAGTGACATGTTATCTGACTCCGTAATCAGTACAAACAAAACTAGTAATTTATGTTTATTTAACCATTTTTCAAAAGCATTAGCCTGTGATAAATGCGAGGTTATGATGCTTGTGGACATACTCAAGAGCTGATATGCAACCAACGTTGGTGAAGGGCGAACTGACACCTTCTTTGTATAATCTATGATTATGCAAAAGGCAAAATGCAGCTTTCAATGCTTTATACTACGATATAATAATATAAGGTTTAAGATAAGCACACTCCTTTTTACATTTTAAATCTTCTCTGAAGGAAACTCAGATGCGCCTGTGTACGTAAATCGCATGCAGTTATGGGTTCTCTCGTAGTCGGAATTTAAATGGAAACTTTTTTTTACACTTTCCAGTTGGTACAACGTGCAACGTGGTAAAATATACATGGGCAATTAAACAACAAATTTTCCATAGCGGAATTCAGCAAAATAGCCTCTTTTCGTGTCATTAGCACCCTGCTGTTGGTAGCAGACGCACATGCGTAATCTTTCGCCTTCCGGTTCCTCCTCCAGTCGTGACGCGTTGTTTCCAGCATGGCAGCTGTTGGAGTGTCTGCAAAATGTTTAGACAGCATGGGGACTGTTAACTCTGCTCTCGCAACCGGGAGAGCTTTTGCAGGGGCTCCACTAACTCTCCGTATAGTGGCTGAGTGTCCGGTGAGCAAAGCCCGGGCTTGCGACCTCACCCTGCCGCACTGCACGGTCAACACGCCGGTATTCATGCCGGTTGGCACGCAGGGCACGATGAAAGGGATCACCGTGGACCAACTAGAAGCTCTGGGATGTCAGATCTGTCTGGGAAATACGTATCACTTGGGTATGAGACCGGTACGTGTGCAGCGGCACAGATCTGGCTTTTGCCTTACGAGTTGTCAAAAATCTTAAAACATTGTGCATGTAAGAGCTCAGGTGCAACAGCGTTAACTCTTGAGTTAAAAAGTGCATTTATCTTCAAAACTTTCCAAAGTTGAAAATATAAATGCAAATTATAAACACCAATGTAAATGACAATGAAATATAGCAATGCGATCTAAATAAATAAACCCCCGTATCACGTTACACAGTGAATTCAGTGGGGGTAAAAGCAAAAAGAGTAAAAGGTGCATCCCCCAGTAGAATGTATGACAACAATAATTGCCTGAAATTCGTGTTTATGAAAGGGCAGAAACTGGTGTCGTTTTGGTGGATGTTATTTATTAAAAGTTTGTAATAGAAATACTACAGTGAGACAAGCACACAGACATCCAAAATCTTTGTTGTAAAAAAACGTTGTGTGCGTGGAAAGTGACACCAGCTTTTCAATTAACAAAAGACATTCAGCCATATTTAATTACTACTATTATTGCTACAGTTTATAGACCACCCAAACCCAGTGGAGCCTTCTTAGGTGAGTTTGCTGATTTTCTCTCATTCTCATGCCTTAAGTTTAAAAGGATCCTTATTCTAGGGGACTTTAATATACACATTGATTCGACCTCTTCCAGTCTTGCTAAAGACTTCCTTTCTCTTTTGGGATGCTTTGACCTTACTCAGTTTGTTTGTACCCCTACACATAACAAAGGACACACCTTAGATTTAATTATTGCAAATGACTCCTTTGTCTCCCACTGCTCTCCCCTTTCTCTAGGCCTCTCTGACCACTTAGCCATTCTCTTCAATCTGGAATTACCTCTTTCTAACACCTCCTCCCCACGCTCTGTAAATTTCCGCAACTGGCGATCAATTGATCACCCAAGGTTTGCAAATTCTGTTCTGTCCTCCTTATCCTGTTTCTCTTCCTCTGACCCTCTAGAAGACAAAATACAGTTACTTGACAGTGCTCTTTTATCTACCCTCAACACCTTTGCTTCTTTAAAAACTTGAATCATCTCTTTCTCTCGGCCTGTCCCCTGGTACAATTACCATCTGCGATCCATGAAGGCAGCCTCTCGCAAACTTGAGTGTAGGTGGTGTCTTTCCGGCCTTAATGTACATTATCAGGCCTGGAGAGATTACTTATCTGAATATCAGGTTACTATAGAGTCTGCCAGATCCACCTACTTCTCTCACATCATTGAAAATCACCAAAACAACCCCAGACATCTTTTCTCCACCATCAATAGACTGCTCAAGCCAAACTGCCCTACCACATTACCCGCCTCATCACAACTTTGCAACACATTCTTAGATTTCTTTAGTTCTAAGATTGACAACATCTGGCAACCCAAATATCTCCACACCGCATATCATTTCCATACCTCCTCCCTCCTCATCCAACTTCTCTGGTTCCCGTCTCTCCAACTTCTCTCTTCTTAACTCGGCATCCCTCAACAAACTAGTTACATGCTTGAAACCCACCACATCTATTTAAGATCCCATTCCAGTCCTGTTTCTCTTCTCTCTGTCCCATTGTCCTCAATATTATACATGAATCCATGAGCACTGGCATTGTACCAACGGTCCTCAAAACTGCTGCCATTGCCCCTGTGCCAAAAAAGCCTAACATGGCTCTCGACAATCTTAACAATTTTCGCCCCATCTCCAACTTACTCTTTCTCTCTAAAATTCTAGAAGGTGCTGTCACACTTCAGTTACATAACCACCTCATGACAAACAACCTTTTCGAACCCCTCCAATCTGGCTTCCGTCAACTTCACAGCACAGAAACTGCCCTGGTCAAAGTCACTAACGATCTTCTAATAGCTTCTGATTCTGGTTCTCTTTCTATACTCATCCTTCTTGATCTCAGTGCTGCCTTTGGCACTGTTGACCATAACATCTTACTTTCTCGTCTGGAGACTGTGTTTGGAGTTTCTGACACTGCCCTCAAATGGTTTAAATCTTACCTCACTGATCGCTGTCACTTTGTCTCTCTCAATGGGTACAGGTCTGAAATTGGTCTTGTCAAGTCTGGTGTCCCCCAGGGCTCAATACTGGGCTCCTTGCTCTTCAGCATTTTACAAGTTCCCACTTGGTCAGCTTTTAAGATCACATGGCCTCAGCTTTCATTTTTATGCTGACGATACTCACATACAGTATACATCCATACCAAACCTGATACTGATGTGGCTGTCTCTGTTCTATCTAATTGCATCTCTGACATAAAAATTTGGATGACTCAAAACTTTCTTCATCTTAACTGTGACAAGACTGAAGTCATGCTTATTGGTACCCCCCATCAACTTCGTAAAGCCAGTCCTGTAACCCTATCTGTAGATGACTCTGTACATGAGCTTCAATCAAAATTGAAAATCCTTGGGGTTATATTCGATCCACATGTGCAGCATACTGTCAAAACATCTTTTTTTCACCTTTGAAATATCGCAAGACTACACCCTATGCTATCATTAACTGTGGCTGAAAAGCTGATCAACATATTTGTATTCTCTCGAATTGACTACTGCAATGCTCTTCTCGCAGGGGTATCTAAATCTACTCTGAACAAACTGCAGTATGTCCAAAATTCAGCAGCCAGAATCCTGACCAGGTCTAGTGCAAGTGTTCACATTACTCGTATCCTGGAGTCCTTGCACTGGCTTCCGGTCAAATTCTGTGTAGACTTTAAAATCCTCATGATCACCTATAAGGCTCTGCATGGCTTGGCACCTCAATATCTGTCTGAACTATTATCGCCCTACTCCCCACCTCGCAACCTCCGCTCTTCAAATTCTGCACTCCTTACTGTCCCCCAAGCCCGTCTACATTGTATGGGTGACAGGGCCTTCTCCTGTAATGACCCCAAGCTCTGGAACTCTTTGCCCAAGGATATCAGAGAGTCACCTTCTCTAAACTCCTTCAAATTCAGACTCAAAACCCTATTCTTCAGAAAAGCCTTTACTTAACTGGTTCCATTCTTCACCCCTCTGCTCTTCTTAGTATCACCTTCCACGGTCTCCTCTATTGTTATTGTTGTAATTGTAATTGTAATTGTGTCTTATCTTGTGTATTCTTCTTATTTATTGTTATTGTCATCCTGTAAAGCGCTTTGAGAAGCCACCTTTAAAGGCACTATATAAATAAAAAGTATTATTATTATTATTATTATTATTATTATTATTATGATGATGATTATTATTGCTGGTCTTTCATTCAGTCTACATAGGGGTGACCTGTCTAATATGTCTGAATAAAGGTCATTTGTGAATCTAAATGCTGAGGACGTTTGTTATGTTTTTGAAGAAAAAATAAAAAAATGCCTTTGAAGGTTTTAAAGAAGACAACAGGTATATACGGAACAAGTAATAGGTTTATTCCATGCTGAAAAAAAGGTGTGTGGCCAAGAAGGCTCCATGGCCGTGTTCTCTTTCTTCTTTTTTTCAGCATGGAATAAACCTATTACTTGTTCCTTTGCAGCCTACGCATGCTGACGCAGCTACCCACCTGAACAGGTATATACTCTGTATGTTGTTTTGTAACAGATGCTGTATGGTAAAATATCTGACCACCACAAAGAACTGCTTTGGAAACTGTGTTATGCGCCTTAAAATAGATGACCTGTGCTTTTCTTCCAGGGACCAGAGCTCATCAAGAAGGCTAATGGCCTGCATGGGTTTATGAACTGGAAACGTAACTTACTGACGGTAAGATAACCCATACTAATAAAGAAGAGCCTGGCACTGCGTTATCTTTCTTTTTAAGTTTTATTCCAATTAAATCCACAGAAGGAATTAAGAAGGAATTAAGAATATGATAAGGCTGTGCGGCCCACCTGGCCCATTTGTTAGTAGGTAACTGATCCCAGGATCTCATTCAGCTGTTCAGCTATAGCCAAAGTATCAGCTTCCGCCACATGGCTGGGTAGCTTGATCCATACTCTCACCATTCTTTGGGTAAGGTGCCTACAAATCTTCCTTTACAATGGACTTTCACATACAGTAAGCAGCTCGTTCCACACTTTCACAAAAAAATCAGTTTCAGGTGATCTTAAAATGACACTATACTGTTAAAGAGTCCATTATGTTCTTGCCTTTTGGCCTAACATTTACCTTCATCCAGTCGTGATTTCAAACCTTGTCAGACCCACTTGTCATTGGCACGACCTTTTAAATCCACCATAAAAAAGGCAGAAAAATCCATACTGATAATGATCCTGGAGGAATGGCTAGCTCTCACTGCAAATCGCAGAAGTCTCTTTTATACCATGTAATGTTTGGGCATCCTGCATCCTTCAGTGGCAGTGTGTTACTAGTACAATCCCTCTCATGTATGAATCTATCCCCATCTATTAAATGGCTTCTTTACTCTGTTGTCCTCCCCACTGATAGCTGATGTGTGGTGAGCGTTCTGGTGCACTATGGCTGCCGTCACATCATCCAGGCGGATGCTGCACATTGGTGGTGGTGGGGAGTCCCCATTACCTGTAAAGCGCTTTGAGTGGAGTGTCCCGTAAAGCGCTATATAAGTGTAAGCAGTTAATAATAATAATAATAATAATAATAATATATGTCGTTTCCAGTAAGGGCTGAGGCTGTCTCCCTGTATGAAACTGAAACTAATTTTGGATGAATCAAGACTGTGGAGTGTTTTATACCGCTGCAAAGGGAGTGGAACCTCTTTCAATGATTGCAGTGCACAGCCATGCTAATGAGTCCCTCCCGCCTGTCCTCTGCTTTGTTCAGGACAGTGGTGGTTTCCAGATGGTGTCTCTGGTGGAGCTGTCTGTGGTGACGGAAGAAGGGGTGCGATTCCGTTCTCCTTATGATGGCAAAGAAATCCTGCTCACTCCCGAGGAGTCCATCAGCATCCAGAACGCCCTGGGTAAATTTCATCTCATGCACCAAAGCTCTTTGGCATACAGGCATAAAGCCTTTTGCAGAAAAAATTACCAAAAAAAAGCTTGTCTGAGTTTAAAACTCAAGACTCACTTTTGCAGAAGAGAACGGTAATGTATATGTAGAGCAAGAAATCATATCACCCTAAAACTCACAACTGGCAAGCCACTAATTAAGCTAGTGTGAGCCTGGGTCACATACCTGGATGGGAGACCTCTTGGGAAAGCTAAGGTTGCTGCTGGAAGAGGTGTTAGTGGGGCCAGTATGGGGTGCTCACCCTGCGGTCTCTGTGTGGGTCTTAATGCCCTAGTAAAGTAATTGGACTCTATACTGAAAAATAAGTGCCATTTTCAAATAACGCATAACACCGAGATCCTGACTATGTGGTCATTAAAAATCCCAGGACGTTTCTTGAAAATAGTAGGGGTGGTCCCCTGGTGTTCTGGGCAAATTTCTCCCTGGCCTTTAGCAATCATAGCCTCCTAATAATCCCCATCTATGAACTGGCTTCATCACTCTGTTCTCCTCAAAACTGATAGCTGATGTATGGTGAATATACTGAAGCACTTTGGCTGCTGTCACACCATCCAGGTGGTTCTACACACTGGTGGTGATGGAGTGGAGTCCCCATTACCTGTAAAGTGCTTTGAGTGGATGCTCAGAGAAATGCTATAAGTGTAAGGATTATTATGATGTGGAAGGAGTAAAAGCAAGCAAAATAATTCCACTCTGTATTGATTTCCTTTTATGTCTTAGCTCAGAATCCCCTGCACATAAAAACAGCTATTTTAAAGATTTTGGCTTTGTTTTGTTCAGGAACAACTTTCCTAGCTTTGTTTATTGTAGCAGTGAAATAAGGTTTTTGATTTTCAGCTGCATTTTTGTCTTGAAGTCTCATTGTGTGATGGCCTGAACAGGTAACTGTTCAACCCAGCAACTACCTGAGTTTTGTAAAATATAGCTGTCATGTAATGTGCATTTATCACGTATGCTTCTATATAAACCAAACACAATGTTTTCTGTTAATTATTATGTTTTGCTATTGAGCTGTCTTGGGATGGATATATTCCACATGGGATTAGTTGACACTCACTATTTAAATAAGGACACAAGGTCATAATCGGAAGATACAATTAAGTTTATTGAAGACAGTGAGTATGAAACATGCCTTTACACAAAGAGCTGTGGGTGTCTGAAATGGGCTTCCTAGCCAGGTGGCAGAAACCAACACTGAATTCATCAAGAAGCAGCTAGATTAATACCCACTATGAGGGGACTTCATACAAGTATTTCTGATTCACACAGTCAACCTAGAGGACTTCTTCAATAGACAGTGAAACACAAACCAGAGGAGACCTGGAAAATTTACTGAACCACAAAACTTCCAAACAAGATGGGAAGAATAGCACTCTCTTTTTTCCTTTTTTCTGTTCTTCTGTCAAACCCACAAACACCTGTTAATCTTGGAATGAAGCATAGTTGCCCTTAACCTTACACCTCCTTCACTGGGCTGTGGATTGTTGTGCCTCATTTATAATCTGGACACACTGATGATAAGCAGTGGTGAATGCCGATGCTCGTGTTTCTCCAGGGTCAGACATCATGATGCAGTTGGATGATGTGGTCAGCAGCACTGTGACTGGGCCCCGTGTTGAGGAAGCCATGTATAGGTATGGCACAATATACTTGAGAAGCACAGTTGCTGAAAAATACAGTTGTCATTGTCTACCATGTTGATAATTATTCTGGCTGTTGTACAGGCCACATTTTCTTTTGATCTGTATATTTAGTTTGAAGCAGAATTTATATATTCTCCTTGTGTTTGTGTGGGTTTCCTCTGGGTGCTCTGGTTTGCTCCCACAGTTCAAATATGTACTGGTAGTTTAATTTTCTTCTGGGTAAATTGGTCCTGGTGTGAGTGTGTGCCCTGCGATGGAATGACATCCCGTCCAGGGTGTACCCTGCCTTGTGCCTGTTGCTTGCTGGGATAGGCTCCGGCTCCTCCTCAATGCTTTATTGGACAATCATGGTAAGAAAATCATGGATGGATGGAAGTTTGGAGCTAAAGACTTGTATTACTTTTAGTAGTGTTTGCATCAATAGAACACCTGCCAAAAACAGTTTACTGTCTTTCTACATGCACGATTTTTTCATACCCCAGTGAATGAAATATTATTTTGTGAGCCTTCCTTTGCTAAAAAACTTTCAGTTACAGTACATCCAGGAAGTGACTGAATTTGCAAATTAATTTGCAAATTTGCTAAATTGACCCTAATAACTGATATTACAATAAAGAGGGCACTGCTGGTTACGACACTGTGAATGGTATTACCTTTCCATATTGTCAAATATGAGTTATGACAAAATAAGAATGATGTAGGTATATAGTATAAATTCAACTAATGTGGTAAGGATAAAATATATGTTGTGTTTATAATTCCTAGCACTCCTCAACACCTTTCATCAGTTGAGTTTTACTCAGAAGAGATACATATTTACAGAAATGTAGCATTAATGTATTTTCTTGATCAATAGGAAATTAAATTCTTAAAGGAATTCAATTTTTCAGTTTTAATTTGGGGTGGGAATATTCACTCAGTCACCTTTCAACACTACACAGGGATGGCCTCGAATACAGAAGTACTTCATCACAGTGGCTCTGCAGTACATGACTTGCATGGGATGCATTAAACTTGGCTCAGGCAGTGCATCGATCTGCTGAAATATTATACCATTTAATCACCACTGTGCAGTCAGAAGAGTTCTTCCTAAGTACAGAGCTTCTCTGTTGCCTGCCAATTCATCTCAGTAACAGCGTTCAGTTGACAATAATCCTACTGCTTCTGGTGCTTTTCAGCATAAACTGGTATAATTTAGCTACGTGATTAACATGTCTGTGGTAGCAACAGGGAGTATAGCCAGCAGCCATATCACCCTGCAACTCACAACTGGCAACCCACTTAAGCTAAGCAGGTGTGAGCCTGGTCAGTACCTGGATGGGAGACCTCCTGGGAAAAACTAAGGTTGCTGCTGGAAGAGGTGTTAGTGGGGCCAGCAGGGGGCGCTCACCCTGTGGTCCATGTGGGTCCTAATGCCCCAGTATAGTGATGGGGACACTATACTGTAAACAGGCGCCGTCCTTCGGATGAGACGTAAAACCGAGGTCCTGACTCTCTGTGGTCATTAAAAATCCCAGGGTGCTTCTCGAAAAGAGTAGGGGTGTAACCCCGGTGTCCTGGCCAAATTTCCAATTGGCCCTTACCAATCATGGCCTCCTAATACTCCCCCTCTATGAATTGGCTACATTACTCTCTGCTCTCCTCCCCACTGATAGCTGATGTGTGGTGAGCGTTCTGGCGCACTATGGCTGCCGTCGCATCATCCAGGTGGATGCTACACATTGGTGGTGGTGGAGGGGAGTCCCCATTACCTGTAAAGCGCTTTGAGTGGAGTGTCCAGAAAAGCGCTATATAAGTGTAAGCAATTATTATTAATTATAATTATTATTGCTAAGATTATAAAAAGAGCAGTTTTTTTTTTGGAAAGGTGTTCAAAAAGATATTTGATTTTTTGTTTTTAAGAAATGTTCACAAACCAAACTGCCTAATGCATAACAACCCTACTATGCAGGTAAAAACAGCTCAGAGTGAGTCTGGTTGTTAGCAGAAGCTCTTACCCAAGTTAAAAGCTAAATTACATGAGCAGGAGTGCTGGGATAAAAGCTCTTATCCCTGCCTCTGGCTCCACCTAGTGGACAGGACAAGACTCCATCTCAGCTCAGACAGAGTCGGAGTCTGTAACCTCACAAGATGGCTGACAGACCAGTAGAACGCAGGATCGTGACATAGTGGTTACATAATAGTACATACAAGAGAGACAAAATAGCAGTCAAGTTAAAAATACAAATATCTCCATCATTCAGTACAATAAACAGTGATGACTATCCAGAACGTGGTTGCAGCAAAATTGCAGGCGAGTATACACTTGGATGTGTGTAGTCTGTACCGGATCTCACAAGAGGCAATATGATGAAGATGCAGGGTTTGTCTTCATCTTAAGTCCATCCATCTATCTATCCATTTTCAAATATTTTTTTCAAATACAGGATCACGGGGGACACAGCCTAACTGGCAAACAACGGGCTAAAGGCAGGATACACCCTGGATGAGATGCCAGTATATCACAGGGCTCACACAGATACACTCACATCAGGGCCAATTTTTCCAGAAGCCAGTTAACCTAACAGTATGTGTTTTTGGTGTGGGAGGGAATAACTGCTAATTTTGTCAAATAATGTTGCCGTCGTTATCTGTTGACCAGAAATGATCTTTCTCTTCCTCTTCCAGGTCTATCCGATGGCTAGATCGTTGCATAAAAGCCAACAAAAACCCAGAGAGGCAGAATCTTTTCGCCATCATCCAAGGTGGATTGAACGCTGACCTCCGCAAAAAATGCCTTGAAGGTACCCGTTTCAAGAAGTACAGTCTGCTTTTCAGTTTGGGAGGCTTATTCAGACAACTGAATCACTATATTCTTGGCACTGGAGCAACACATGTTTCTTGGTCAACCGGGTCCATAAGGAACGTGACTTCTTTTTGGAATGCTGTGTATGTTTTTCAGTCTGGGTCAGACACACACATCGACTCAGTATGGACCAAATAGTTATAAATGAGTGAGACTAATATCTTACCTGATATGGAGTGCTATCTGTGTCGAGTTTGTATGTTCTCCCTGTGTTCCTGTAGGCTTCCTTTAGTTGCACCGATGTCCTCCAGCAGTCCAAAAATACACTTCTAAGTTAATTGACTTATGGGAAAATTGGTCCTGTGAGTGTGTGTCTCTTGTTTGCTGTCTGTCCAGCTTGTGCCTGTAGCTTATCAGGATAGGCTCCAGGCCACCGTGACCATGTTAGAAAAAAGTGCTTAGAAAATGTGTAGATGGACGTTTGAATAGTTGACTTACTCCACAAGCATCTTGTAGATCACTTTCTGGTTTTCCAGCTCCTGTCTCTGCAAGTTCTTTGTACAGAGAGGTTCATTGGCTACCCATTGGAAAGCAATAATTATCATTTTCTATGTTTTTATATCCCATGCCTCTTCCTTGTTCTATTGCGTAATTTTGTACTTCAGGAGTGTGGAACGACAGTTTGAATAAATGAGCTGGAAAATTGCCCTTAACCTGTGTGCGCTCTGGTCTGTTGTGTCGTTTGGAGTAGAAATGACGAAGCGGGACGTGCCCGGATTCGCCGTCGGTGGGCTCAGCGGGGGAGAGGAGAAGGACGATTTCTGGAAGATGGTGACGCTCAGCACAGACCACCTGCCCCGGGTGAAGCCTCGATACCTCATGGGAGTCGGGTACTGAGCTCAGCGTGTTTCATTTTGGTACAGAGAAGGATGTTATGGAAAGAGCCATTCGTCTCCACTGACTCTTTGTACTGCACAAGAGGGTAACAGATTTTATTTGTGATCTGACAAGGAATTCTCTTGGATTCTGAGGGAATTTGGGTCCCTTTTGTGCTATAAGAGGAGTTATATATACGGCATCATCGTGACATGGTGCTGTAGGAGACCCTCCCTGAGATTAACAGTGAGGTTCTCAGTGTTGGGTTCAGTGTTGATGTTCAGTAGTGGATGAATGTTAACATAAGGACCTAATGAGACAGTGAAAGGCAGTTGTGTTGTTGTTTGAGCACTGTGGACATAAGGGGTGTGTATAGATGTGAGTTAGTAGCATGTATTAAGTGCTTTCAGACGGCAAAGGGAACAACACACAGTTTTTGCAATAATGCAATGATTTTGAAATCCTATACACACCCAGTAAAAGACAATAATTTGGTTTAAATAGGTATTTTAATGGAAAAGTGGGTTAATATTCTGCTATTAATAGGCAGAAAAAGTGTTGTCAGTGAATGCAGAAAAGCAATTAAATTGCACATCTTAGAACCAAGTCAGTCTGTTTTTGAATGCTTTTCCATCTTTGTTGGAAAAGCAGCCTTGAAAAATGTTTTTTTGGCTTCCAGGTTGGGCATTGAGGTTCATTTTCTGAACATGTTAGACTAGAGGTTAAGAACATAAGAAAAATTACAAATGAAAAGAGCCATTCTAGACTAGTAACTACAATGAGTTAGTAGTTCATTGATCCAAGGATCTTAAACCAGTAATTTCTTGAAAGAAGAAACCAGGGTTTTGACTTCAAAAACATATGGATAGTTTGTTCCACACTCCCACAACACTTTGATTGTGGGAGCCCCCTTTTGCTTGGTTTCCGATGATAAACCACAATGACGGGTTAATCACAGAAGCCAGGGGTGTTAGTGGAGGAGAGGATCTTCATTGTTGTTCAGTGAAGATGGAGACCCAACCCATGTTTGTTCTCTTTTTCTCAGGTATGCCACTGATCTGGTGGTGTGTGTCGCCCTCGGCTGTGACATGTTTGACTGTGTCTTTCCTACACGCACTGCTGTGAGTAAAGTCTTCTTCTCTTTTAGGAGCATTTTAAATGAACAACATGATCCAGTTTTTTTCTGCTTTTTTTAAACTCAGAGTTTCTTCAATCGATCTGCATTGATTTCCTTCTTCTATGTGTATTCATTCCATCTGAGCGTTCAGCCTTTTGGCAGAATATTTTTCTAATAAAAACTTTAAAACGGCTCCTAAGAAGTTGCACATTTTAAGTTATACAGGGGGTTTCTTGGAAACTTGAAATGTCCTGAAGGTTTGAGGGATAAACAATTAAAAAGGGCTGAATTAGATGATCCGTTGTTGAGTAAAGGTTACAGTGAATTCACCTGGAATGAAAATCAGAAAACATTTGTTTTCCAGATCAGGACTGGGACTGGAAAGTCTTCTCTGTCTGATTGGAATTTCCAAAATGATTGTTTAATTACCCTGGCCCACCACTAATCCACCCCCTGCATATCCACTTTGATCAAAGCAAGAATTAGCCGCATGGAGCTTGAAAGGATTTTGCTGATAGTATTGGCAAGAGAGGCCTTTCAACAAGCGTAACTTTTCGTTATGTTGTCTTTCTGACTTCCTAACAATCTTCTGTGCTAATTTTACTGTTGGTCCTGAAGTAGATATTTGGAGTGACTTAAATACTTTGCAGAAGTACTTTAAATACTTCTCTATTAACTTCCTCCCCCCTTATAGTCTTATGTTCAGGACAAAAGATAACCAAGTTCCTTTAACTTGTCAGTATAGGCGGAGATATAAAAGTTAAGTCTGAGAAATGTTGTGTGCTCTTCTTTAAATTGCACACTAACACATTTTTTATGTTGTGAATGTGTGTACAAATAAAGGTTTTACCACTGAATCTTTTCTTCAGTGCACTTAACATCATTTTCTCAATTGAATTCAGCAGTTTTCACATTATATACTGTTGCCATTACTTCCTCTGACTGTATATCCATTCTTTTATTTAAAGCATGGACCTCCTCTCTCAGGGTCATTCTAATGCTCTCTCAGAAATATGCCAATCAAAAAATCATTTAATGCAATTCTTAAATGTTCATTCTTCATATTTTGAGGCTGGTGTTGCTTGTGGCTTATTAATGAATAATTGCAATTGATCTTCTGAACAGAATGCTGTTTTCTCCACTCCCCTGTAAGAATAGCATGGTTTAAGCCTCAGGTCTCCCAAAGGTAATGTTGTCAATCTACACTGCTGGACTGCATGTGTTTGCAAAGAATAATAAGTGTAGGGCCTCTGGGTGCTGACATTCGGTTTTTGCCAGTCAGCCCTCCTTTAAAGCTGCGGTCAACAACTAGCACCATCTGTTCTGAATCCAGCTGAGACGGACAAAGCTTTTCTATTGCAGATCGTGGAGGGAGTTCTTCCTCCGGTGGAGTTTGGCATCCTGTATAATGAAATATGGAAAGCCTTTCTGGAGACTTCTACAAATGAGCATAAAGAGTGAATAAAATAAAGTGATGAGTTGATGTGAAAGAGGAATGAGGCAGCTTTGTGAAAAACTGGCATGTTACTTGAGCATCAAACCTGTTATAGGACATCTACCTATGGGATCAGACAAGACATTTCCTTGACAGTTAGATTCATGTCAGATTTGGTCATTTTCATATATGGCCTTTATATAAGTCAATGTTTGATATTAGATCATTCAAGCATGTTTTGTTTAATTAAACTGGCATGGATTAATGGAGCTACAGTCCCTGCTAAGCGTTTAATGACAGCTTTCAGTGGTCAGTGAGCAGAGATAGAGGAAGTATATTATCCCCTCGTAACATGATTAATCCAGTTAAATCATTCAGAACTTGGCTATCATAAGATAAGATTCTTCAGGATAGGAGCTACAGAGCTACAGATCTCTGGCACAGACCAACAGGAGGAGAAGTGATCCAATTAAAATATATTGGTTTATTTCTCCATTACTTCAGTATGTACAGGAATTGACACACCCTGTAGCCCGAAATGTAGTAAACGTCTGTACAGTAAGAATCTTGTCTAACTACATGATTTTTGAGCACCATTGTTGTATGCAGATCATTACAGCAAAGGAGACAACTCAGGTGAATGGTACACTTCAAGAGAAACTTCATAGGAATTAAGTATTAAAGGAGTGCTGCTGAGCCAACCAGTCCTCCCTAGCTTGATAGGGCTACACTGATCTAAATGCAGGAGGGCAGTTCAGATTTTGCTCAGTTAGAGAGAGTTTTACCATGCATCGCTGTTTGATAACTCACCCTTGGGCTGTTGTTACAGAGGTTCGGCTCCGCGCTCGTGCCTTGGGGGTCCCTGCAGCTCAAACACAAGCAGTTTGCCAAAGACTTCCAACCTATTGATCCCAACTGTGAGTGTGCCACCTGCAGGAGGTGAGAAGAACTAATATTTCTACATTTAGAGCCCTGTCATTTTGGACTTGCACACCTTGCACTTGGAACAAAATGGAGGACACACAAACCACACAGGATCTGATACCTTAGCTATGTGCATCCTGCAGGGCCTGATGCATATACTTGTATGAAATGTAGGAACATGAAAAAGACTCAAATTGTCATTCATTCTCTTTTGTGTAGCATCTATTTCTTCAGAATTACCCCAGTTTATGTTCCATAACTGTGCACAGTTTCTAGAGAAATAGAATGGTTGTGTTACTTGTGTTTCTTAACCTGGGTTGCATAAACCCCTTCATAGGGGTGTGTGACATGCCAAAATGTTTTAGAAGTTAAATCTTTTAAAATACACATTAAACATAGGCACATAAGTACAAAAGTAACTACTTTGGTTCATGAAATGCAGGTATTTAAGGTCAACTTTAAAAAGGGTGTACTTCTTTATGTCTCCTTAATTGTACTGTGAAAATAAATGGGATATGTTATTCTGTCCCTTTAATTCTATAGTTATGAGATATCTTAGGTTTAAAGAACTGACCTACTTCAATTATTTTGGATATTATTTAATAATAATTCCTTACACTTATATAGTGCTTATCTGGACACTCCACTCAAAGCGCTTGACAGGTAGTGAGGACTCCCCTCCACCACCAAAGTGCAGCCCCCACCTGGATGATGCAACAACAGCCATAGTGCACCAGTATGCTCACCACACATCTGCTATCAGTGGGGAGGAGAACAGACTGATGAAGCCAATTCATAGATGAATAATGGGTGTGTGAACACATTTAGAGAACCGAAGGGGTACAGACTGCACTAAAGGTTAAGAACCACTGTTCTCATGTCCTCTTTTAGCATGAGCACAGCAGAAACGTTTGCAAAGTTGCAACATGTGTGTTTCTTCTGCAGGTACAGTCGAGCTTTCCTTCATGCGTTGTTTAAGGCAGATACAGCTGCCCTGCACCACATAACAGTTCACAATATTGCATATCAGGTAGGTGTTTCTGTGGGAGTACCATTGTAGTCTACTGCCTTAGTGTCACCTCTCAATTTAGGGTAAAACATAAAAGGGTCTTGTTAGTCTTACCCCTTAGAAGATATCAATGTACTTATAGGTTTTTTGATTTGACATGAATGTTTTCTTTTTCACATTTTTAATTCATGGGTTGCTTGTTTTGTAGACCACACTGTTAAATTGTTGTCTGCATTACTAGTAAAAATTGGTATTTGTTTCAAAATGAATGGGGCTGCTGAGCTTCTCATAGGAGGGGAGAAGATTAGCATCACACTAAATGAAATCTACATGAGAGGAAGTGAAGTGAGTTTGTATGTTAGTGATACTTATCCGGCTCTTCCAGAGAGAAAATAGACTTCAATGGCTAGTTTGACAATCACTGAAAAATATAAAATCTGTAATGTTGTAATACTTTACAACAGTCTTTATATAATGTCTATGGATGCATCTGCAAAATTGGGGCTTGTGTGTTGTCTGGATCTGTGAAACCCCTGGATCCTGTCATTCTGATCACCTGTGCGCTCACCTGTTTTAAGCTTTCCCTGATGCGTTCCGTGAGGCAGAGTATCGTGGAGCAGCGCTTCCCTCAGTTTGTACGGAGCTTCATGGCACGCATGTACAATTCCAAGGAGGACTATCCTTCCTGGGCAGTGGACGCCCTGGCATCGGTGAACATCACCCTGGACTAAGGGCAACAAGCAGGGGATCATTGGTAGTGAGAAAAGAGAAAGACAATACTGGTATAAAACTGGCCTGTGGTCTGAATCTCAGGCTGGATGTGATCTCAGATTTAAAAGCAAGGCCTGTCCTGTTTTTTTAGAGAACAATTTGTTATTTTAACCAAAAAATATCTCAAGGGAGACATTGAGACCACCTTGATGCTAAGTCAATGAAATGAAGGCAAGTTGCACTTGTAAGTAATTTCTCAGACTCTGTGACTACGCCTTTTTAATTTTTTATCTTCCTTTTTATCATTTACTTTTATTTATATAATGGATTTTGTACTGGGGTGCAAAATAAAATGTCACATTTTCAATAATAACTAAATGCCCCAACTTCTTCTAAGATTCTACTTTTTTTACTCAGACCTTCAACAGTTAGTGGAGTATTGTAAATCACAGTACTGTTTAAAAAATATTTTAGGGGGAAGATTTAATGAGGCTTAGGTAGAGCTCCAACATTAAAGACTACCAGAATGAAACAAAGTTAACGCAGTGTTTTCTCATCTTGTCCGTTAATTATTTATTTCTTCATGTACTGTTCAATATATTGTACCTTACCTGTAAAAAAATGTAGAAAGTCCACTTTTTTACAGATTGTAGTTTCTCTAGTTTTGTGGGACGATCTACTGTATGTCCTGTTCTCCATGCTATATGTGGTGGCACACTCTGGCTGTGTGTTTAGACATGGCTAGGTAGTGAGTGTGTACTGCATGTGTAGGGGGACACAAATATTGTCATTCATGGTACAGAAGCCCATTTGCAAGACCTTGCACCCTGAACCATGCCCTGATCAGATGATTTCAATACTTTCTTTAAAAATCCTTTTCAGGAAGGTTGGATGTTCCTCAGTTTGAGGCAACAGGCATGTTATCAGGGGCATTCTGGAGTCAAGTGCTGCTGATTTTCTGCTTTGTCACCCTGAGCAAGTTTCCAAACATCCTTGTGATAAATCTGTCCTCTAGCTGACACATACAGAGGTCTTGTTGCCAGAACCTTCACAGCAGCAGGTGCTGTCATAGTTGACTGCCATTAAATAGTGTAAGGAACAAGTAAGAAATCATTGCAAGTCAATCAAATGTATTTTTATATAGTGTCTTTCAGTGCAGAACATTCTCAAGGAACTCTACATAAATTATCATATACTGGAGAATTCTGGAAGATGGCACCCCTGAGAGCCTGAGCACATGACCTTGAAATCACCTATTACACACTCTCACCTCACCTTTTCCCCTCCACTATAAATAGGGGTTCCCTTTCCCTTTTTCCCCGCATTATCACACCAAACCCCTGGCTGAGCAGTTGGCTCTGTACACCTTGTCTCCACTTGGCTACCTTACTCTCCTTTGCCTGAGTGATTAGCATACCTGTGTATTCTGAAAGGGAAATAACCTAGTGAGCGGAAGTTCCAGTCTCCTGCTTCTTACACTGCTACATGAGCAGAGGGGTAATGCTACAATACAATAAAATCAAATGTAACTAAGATATTATAAGAGTTCAAGAGTCAAAGGCCGTCAAAAACGTATGTCTTGAGATGAGATTTAAAGACGGCAAAATAAGTGGTGTTTTTAATACTCGGGAAGTGTTTTGGAAAAATTAGGTCCAAAAAACTCGGTCCCCTTATGACCGATATGACCTCCTCGAAACTTTCAGGAGGCAAACGGAAACCGGACGAGGTGAGCAAACTGGGCAAACTAGTCAACTAGAGAATTTTAAAGTCACATTTCTTACCGCAGCGGTTACTCTGTTTTGTTTTTGTAAATTGAGCAACAATTACTGGTTGAGAACAAATAAAAATGACACTAAACGGTTCTGCAGTCGGTCTGAGGTGAGACGTAGAATTACAAACGGCACAGTAATAAGAGCATTGTGTAGACGGTATTTCCTTTAAACGAAGTCTGCAGTGCTCAGATTTTGAAAGGCTTTTTAAATTATTAAATGAAACGCAGTTATCATTCAAGGCTTCTAATAGGCCGTACTGGCAAGGTACTTGGGAACAGATTTGTTATGAGGTGAAAATGCGTAATAGACGGCTGACATTAAATTTAGATGCCTATTCGGATTAATAAAGTCTTAAAACATATTTGTTCAATTTAACTCTGCTAAGTGCATTGCAATGTGTAATGTCAATCATAATTTCGGGCACATATGCTTTTTTATATTACCAATAGACCTGGCTAGTAACTATCCGAAAATGCTTAATGATTGATCTCCTTCTGAATATCGTATTTTTAAATTAGAAAAAAAATCTATTTTTTGTTTGATATCAATGGCAACAGTGTTAATTTTGGTATGTTTTGATTCATGACATTTTAATGAAAACCGTCGTGTAGTTATGTTTGACCTCTAAATTATTTTTAATCGCAACGTTATTTAGAGTTCATTATTTCGATACGAATGATAACAATCATGAATAATTCCGTAACGTCTTCAGTGAAATACATCTTTTTCGAAGAAGAAACATTTTCTAAATCAGAAGGGCAAAAGAGGGAGAAGGGTCAACGGGGAAAAAACAGTAAATCGCAATTTAAAGCAAATTAAAACAATTTCGTGAAAAAACCGGGGTTACCCATGGAGGTCTTGCCTGGGATTTTGGCATGTTGCTATGGCTACAGACAATGAGATCTGGATGTGTTTTATTTGTCACGTAACGCAACGTGTTGCCTTTCACAATACACGACTTTCTCAGAGCACGATTCTCGCAGGTCAGTGTTCAGCAGATCACTGTTACCACGAATTGTTTTTTAAAGATGTTGTCCAGAATTTGAATATAACCAAATAAGGAGGTAACCACACACGAAAGTGCACATTAATTGTAACAGTTATAATAATTGGTCGACACATTGCTTTCTTATAGCTCCTGGGTCTTTGTTTCGATTCTGGTATGGGTTGCCTAATGTGTGCAGTTTGCATGTTTTTCCCGGGTTTCTCCTGGTACTTCGGTTTCTTGTCACCTTCCAAAGACATGCTCTCTTGGTTAATTGGCGCTCCTAAATTGTCCTTCCGTATGTCTGTTAGAGCCCTGTTTACCAGTTTGAGCTCCATCCCACTGCAACTTTGTAGGTGTCCAAAAATCGGTTTTTGAAAATCGATGAAAAAATAAATTTTAATTAAAACAGAGACTCATCAGATTCATCACTTTTCCCTAGTACTTCGGACCCGAGCGCATCTATCTCATAAAAACAATACATTCCTACGAGAGTCTGAAAATGTGTGTGATTGTGAGTCAAATTTCATGGAACCTTAAAGTTAATAGACGCATCACTATTAAATCGAACAATAAGTCGTTATGTCCAAAATACCCTATTACACTGCATTCGTAACAAACGACATTATTTCGTCCAAAATCTCGAAATGGCATACAGACTAACGAACTTGATCTTTTGGAGGTGCTGGAATTATAACTATGTTAATTGTAATGAATTGTAAATCAACCATTGCAAATTCAAAATCATCATTTAAATAATTTTCTTTACTTTATAATAGTATACAGTAGCAATGTCCCAAACATTAGTTATGTGTACTGAACAGTAATTACCATCGCAAAACAAAACAACATTGTTTACTTTATTTGAAGTAATGTTGATCATGAAGGGAAGTGGTACTGAATGCTACAATGCTTCGTATGGCTTGGTTTCAATTTTTATAGAACTGAAAATGTAGCTGCTTATAGCTGTGTAAGAACGAAATAAGCAATAAGATCTTGTCTGAGATAACTATAAAATCTGTTTTCGAAAAGTATGTGCGCTTTTGGAAAGATCAAACGGTTCTATTTCCATAATAACCCGATTATAGATGCGATGTTCTTCCTGTGCCCGGAAGGGGTCACCAAAGCCACAAACTGCAATACTGAAGGAGTTAATCCCAGCCTTTTCTGTCCTATTTGCTCGCTTTTCTAGTTGCCTGACACGGCGTTGCATGTACCTGGAAACATGCTGAAACTTTTTAAAAGTAACACAAACTCCGTTTTTACTGCAATTATCTTGCATTGGATGTGTTTGTGTGTGCAATAAGGGTCGGGTTGACTGAAACATAAAATTGATAGCCTGGGGTCGTCTTCTGTAGTTGAATTGACACTATGTGATGCCTTTTCTGGACAGTAAAATATCCTAGCAAAAATACAGCAACCGACTGAAAATGAATTAGTTTATTCTTTCCTGTGCTCATAAATAATAAAATAAATACGTTGTTTCACTAATCCGCGAGAGGCCTCTATGTATGGCCACGTATTCTGTACATACTTAATTCATAGACAGCACAGGCCCATATGTCGCTTGAAAGTCTCGGTTGTTATTGTCGCTAACGTTTCACCCATACATCTAGACAAATATATTTGTAAGTCGTGTGAATGAGTAGAATGTTCTTTCTGGTTGCGTGCTTAAACGTTAGAAATCACGCAAAGCCTCCTGGCTCGTTCACGGGCGATGGGGAAGCTGGGATAGGACTATAGGAATTTTAGTAATTCCTTTTCCCCCATAAATGGTGTGTATTAACTACAGACATAAACCTGTGCCACAAATATTAGCACTTGCATTTTTCCACCAGGTAGCTTACAATTAAATGCGTCGCTTAGTATTCAAGCCAGTGACTTAAGTGGACCAAGCCTATCGAACTCTGCATGTGCTGCAGCTTTGAAGCGTCATTGAAAACCCGCAAACACCAAGTCTCCAGGAGCTGGACTGGGCACCCCTAAACAAGTTAATGTATTTCACTTCTATACTCATTCAAGTGTAGCTATAAAGGTTTGGGAATGCCTGATTGAAGATACCAGACGTCTTCTGTTCCCTCGCCCACACAAGATCACGTAGTAAAATCGAGACTTTTTAATTTGGGAAGGGCTGGTAGGAATAATATATTCCTCTAGTTAGTGGTTGATAAAGCCCTCAGAATACATAAAATAGATACTGCGTTTTATTTTACTTACCTCCCCATGGAATGATCTCTGCTAAATTAAAAAAAAAAACGAAATACAACGTCTTAATCAGCAAGTTGGAATTTGTAAGTCTCGTGGTTTTTCCCTCCCTAACAAAATACGGAGTAAAATACACATTTTCCAAGAAAAAAGATACAGGTTTTAGGAAAGCGGGCAAAACTGCTGTTCTTTGACAGCTGAATTTGTATGAATACAGTATATCCCCGTCGGTTTACCGAACCGAGTGCGAATCTGCGTTTAGGGCTTGTTTGTGAGCTAATGAAGGCAGTGGAAAAGGGCAAATTTAATTCCCATCAGTGTTGTTCTATGGACTTCATACCTGATTAACACAATGACACAATGTGCAGGGGAATTGATTCGGGTCACTTACATCTTAGTTCTTTTCTGACCTTTCTTTTCGGTTGACCCAGGAATATCCAATTTAGGAGAACTAATGAACACCGTGAAGGTTCATTGCAAGTGGGGGAAAAAAAAAAACCTTAAACCCCTTCGTTTGCAATCAGGCTGTAAAAAAAAAAAACAGGCGACCTGCTGTTGATACTGCGTCTTATCAAAATTTGAAAAGCCTTCTATTTCAATAGATCACTTCTTAGTAATCACGGACACTCGGGTTGAAGGTACAAAACAATTCTCCTTGCCAAGCGGGTTAAAGGATTTAGTACTGCTACAGCGCAGGATGCTCACTGTTGACTTGTAAGTACAGCGGGTGTAGCCCCTATCATTATAGTAGTGCAAATCAAACAGCTGCATTCAGTGAGATCAGACCAGCAGCCGCCACTTGTTAGCAGAAAGCAGGTCTAAGCTGATAGCAACCAGTTGCCCAGTAGTTCTGGGACTCGTGTTCCGAATGTCAAACGAGCGCAAAGCCTTATAGCGAACCAAGCCAGTCCACATGCTGTGCCGAGGTGAGCTCAGTGGGACCGAACCGCTAAACCCACACCAGTGACTCTTTTTTTTGTATAATAACGGTAACAATTAAGAAACCGGGGATAGAGGGTCTGCTCTAGGGAGCCGACGCTGGAGGTGCGATCTCTACAGCGGCGCATTTTTATTTTTGCCGGAGAGGTTCGGAGCTTAACGAACATGGTGGAGCTGGAAAAGGACGTTCTACCGCTGCCGCCGCGGTATCGGTTCCGAGACCTGCTGCTCGGGGACTGGCAAGCGGACGACAGGTGAGCAAAGCTGACAAACGCTTCAAAAAACAAATAATGCGTTAATGATTTATACTGTTCTTGCAGATAGGAGCAAATATTTAAGGAAGCATTAGAATGCGCCGCTTCTAGAATGTCGGTTCTTCATTCCTTACATAAGCATAGCTTTCTTTTTTCCTGATAATTTTATTTTTTGACAGGAAGGAAAACCCGGAAACGCCACGTTTTGCTTTATACAAGTGGTCAACAACCTGTTGTTTATGCAAGGACAGCGGTTGAGTAATTTTGTCAGGGTTAATTACAGCCCAGTGTCACCACGATGCTGGCTTAATGCTACAGGCTGTACTTTTGTGCCTTAATACCAGACTGTAGAAGAAAGACACCGGGCTGCAGCAGCACTGTGCTTCCCCATAGCAAATAAACGCAACGTCGATCTGTCTTCCCTGATGCCCGGTGGCAGTTGATCAGCTCCTGCCCAGTTTTATAAATATATCTGAGGCTGCTACCTTCAAGGCATCAGCAAGAATCGCAGCATCAGGGCATTTGCTTTCAAGATGCAGAGAAGGTTCACGTTATTCAGTGTACAGTTCTTATTCAACCTGTGTGGATACTTCAGCTGAACTATGAGGACCACACTAACTTTATTCGTATTGGTACTGCAGTTCCAGTTATCGGAATTTGGCATAAAAGCACTGGGTCAATGTGGTTATCATTCAGTATTTTCTTGGTATTAGTAATTTGCAATAAAATTATCCAAACGTATTTTTCTGTCTGTATAAAGCTATATGCAATAATGACAAAATACGGAGTGTCTTGCAATTAAGTTAACCGTGTAATTGGGTTTGTGTACGCAGAAAGTTTATTTGGCCCTGTTCTTTTCTAAAGCAAAACAACGGTCCCCACACAGTCACCGTCACCCCCGTACTTGCCAAACAGTTGGGTCTTATTTTGTTTATGAATCGTGAAAATATTCATAATAGATCAGCAACTGAGTGTTGGATTCTCCATTAACGAACTTCTAATTTGTGATCTGGTTTGGCGAGGCATGTATATTAATGTAGCGTATTTATGGGTTTGCAATGCTACGTTTCTGTACACAAATCTACATTTGCTTTCATATGGCCATTCAGATCTTGATGATAGACTTCTGAGTGTTAATTATAACAGACTAGTTGTCCTTTTATTTTATTTTTTTATAAATAATTAGGATCTTGTGACCCTGACGTGTTTCCGTTTTAATGCAAAACGCATAAGAATAAAAATAATTATTCTATAATACAAGGAATATGTTAAAACGGTTGATAGGGAGGTAGAGTCGGTTTTTGCCTGTTAACTTAATAGAATAGAATAGAACTAAATAAAAGTAAAGACAAAATATAAACACTAAAAATCCAGAAACTCATTTTATCCGTCATGTGTGGAGTAATTGGAATCTCATGGGTTTACCAGTAATTGAAAATGGAACCCCCTCATTTCACGGCTTTTTGGAGAGGTTTAGTGTGCACAGCTGCGCGGAAACGGCTCGGTCTTCCAGTGCTGTTAAGAAAGCAAAAATACTTTTCATGCTTCAGAGGAATCTGACTTAGTTCAGCCCGCGCTTGCGGAGTCCTAGACTAGCTTGCGGAGTCTCTAAATCAGATGTATCGCATTTAGATTACAGCGACAGGAAAAAAAAACAGCGTTGATCCAAGTTCCAATCAAACCCGCCACTGAGCATTAGAGAAATTGCTAGGCATCAACGGCAATGGTATTTACGTGTGCCTATTTACTGTCCCGGAGTGTATTCCTAGCAATTATATTTGTGTTCTGTATTATGATTTTGGAGTTTGGAGAGCGCCCGAATCTTTTCATTACTTTTCAGCTGAGCATTAGAGGGGCTTAATGGTCGCAGTTTTTTACTTAGTTAACACCTTAACTGCCTTCTCATTTTTTTAAATCTTCCTCGTGTTTCTCTGGTGTTAAAACTTTTCTCCCCTCGTTCTCTATCTGCGCCTTTTACACCAATTTAACATTTCACTTAAACAAGTTTTACAGGAAAGAAGTGTGTTCCTTCAGTCTCTGCTCTCCTTTATGTGTCTGCTTTCCGCATTAGTGGTTTTTCCCCTGTGAAAAAGCATGGAGTTACAACAAAAACCATTAAATGGTAAAAAAAAAGTTGCTTTTCAGCAATAGTGAGGAACCGCACAGGTCCATTTTGGATGGGATATGGAATAGCGGGAGTTGGAAGTAAAAGCTAATCTCGAATAAACCAGGAGAGAGGACACAGCATTCTATTTCAAAACTTGCATGTCACATATTGCTACAGTATGTCATAACATTTCCATATAAAACAGCAGCTAACTTGAAGCTGAATCAAGACAGTGAGGCCTCAGTCCTATCTCTCTTAAGAAATTGAAAACTCTACTACTGCTGGACTACAAGATGAGCCCATCGATATATTACCCAAAGCATAATAATCCCCAGTGGAAAATATATTGGTTGTCTGCCACCATCAAGAACAGCTCTTGTGGGATGTTATGTGCATTATGCCCAGCAACCATATCACCCTGCAGCTCACAACTGACAACCCATTAAAGTTAAGCAGGTGTGAGCCCAGTCTGTTAGTTAGTGGAGCCAGCAGAGGGTGTTCACCATATGGTCTGTGTGGGTCCTAATGCCCCAGTATAGTGATGGGGACACTATACTGTAAAAAGGTGCCGTCCTTCGGATGAGACGTAAAACCAAGGTCCTTACTCTCTGTGGTCATTAAAAATTCCAGGGTGTTTTTCAAAAAGAGTAGGGGTGTCCTGGCCAAATTTCCCATTGGCCTTTACCAATCATGGCCTCCTTATTGGCTTCATCACTCTGTTCTCCCCACTGATTGCTGATGTGTGGTGAATGTTCTGGTGCAGGTGAATGCTGCACATTGGTGGTGGTGGAGGGGAGTCCTCATTACCTGTAAAGCGCTTTGAGTGGAGTGTCCAAAAGAGTGCTACATAAGTGTAGGTAATTAATTAAACCTGGTTTTAAAATATGAGCAACACAGTCCTATCCAGTTTGTCTAACAGGATCACCCTCATTAGAATTTGTGATGACAAGTCATGGTAGATGGGACTGACCTGCATGTTTTCAATAGGATTGAGATCTGGGGTGGAGCGGTGGCACTGTGGCTAAGGATCTGTGACTGTGTCTTGAAGGTTACTGGTAATAATAATAATAATAATAATAATAATAATAATAATAATAATAA